CCCCCCGCGGGTCTGTTCGTCGGCTAATAAATCTCTGGCTCTCGTCATCGCGCGGCCGAAGCGCCCGTCCGCCGTGTGTCACCGCTAATTCCGCCGCTCGGACGAACAAACGGAACCGCGCCCGCGCGATACGCTAGAAAATCTGTGGATTGTCCCTTTGAACTATCCGGTCCGATTATGTGCGGCTGTGTGCCCGCGCCGGCGGGGAACTATACGTGGAACATCGTTATTTCGGTCATTCTCGTGGAATTTGCACGAATTAATAGTAAGCTCGTACATATATTGTTCATCACTGCCACTACCGTCGCCGCTGTGGATTATTATAATAGGCTAAATTAGTTATTGACAGATCGAATTTTGTCCGCCACGTGTTCTAACGATAATCCTAAGTAACACATTTTGAAACAGACGTTGATATGTTTCGTTAACTTTTATTTAACTCTCCGCTGGCAACATCAACTTTTAATGCCGCGGCACAGGCTTTGGCATAACGCGTACCGCACATAAGCGAATGAACCAATCAGAATCCTTCCTTTCCTCTCATTTTATGGAAAAGAAGGATTTTGATTGATTGATTTTCTTATGCACTATGCATTATGCGTTGCAAAAATCTGCGGCCTTAACTCTTCTGTCAACAATGTAGAGGTTTTCGAGAAACAAAATAAATTTTGTATCGTTCGGATTATATAATTTTTATTGTTCGGATTATATAAAAATTCTGATATAGGTACTTAAGGCTTTAACAATAAGTTTGTACTATTATAGAAATTGGATTGTATTTGACTTATTTTTTGCAGATTTAAATTTATCTAGCAAAATTCACAATCAAAATATTGATAGTGCCTTTAAAGACCCCAGTTGCCAATGGAGGATTAAAAAAGAAATCGAAACTTTTGTTTTTCTTTGATTTTCGTGTGCTTCGATGCGCATCGTAAAGTAGATAGGATGTAAATGATAAATTTGTTACTAAACAATCTGAATTAATGAATTATTGAAAAGAAAATGAAAATGAATTATTTAAAATAAGTTAAACGGAAAGATTAAATTTTTCTGCGGATGAAATGGGTTACTTAGTGAATCGGATATTCTTTGAACATTTCCCGGTAAATCCTTGTAGGATCTCAGACGGTAATAAATCAAGGTATAATAATCTAAGGGTTAATGTCGGCTATTCGATTCCGATATACGTACGTTCGCGGTAGCTCGCGTGGCACGGATCGATATAACGAATTAGTAGTTCGGCATTCGATTACGATTTCACGACATATAGAAGAACGGCTCGTCTTCGGCGTGCAGAGAGGAACGGACATGTATGGTGTCGCGTTACATGCGCAGTGTGCGGTTAGATAAAAAAAAAACAAAATCAACGATTTCGTGAGAGGAGCAAAAAATATATGTACATGACACACATATATGTATACAGACATCGATCTGAATGTTGAATTGTGCTCATCTGTGACCAAATTCCTCCGAATGACAGCAAGTCTGTTTAAGAGCGATCTGAAAATCATTTAGTTAAAACGTGCTGACAGATCAAAATGCGAAACGGGTCAAAAGTCTCGTACGAAGCAACGATAAACTATTATCGTAGAAAAAATTGTAAGTTATAGCATCGGGTTTGGCTTTTAATATTTCTACATGGAAAGAAGTTTTGCTGAAATGTTTAAAAATTTAGCCAGATATATAAAAATAATTTTATAGAACGTTCAAACTGATTTTTGGAATATCAAAACTTTTTGCAGCATTGTTTGTCATGCTTGAGTTTCCTACAATAATTATTTTGATGATCCAACAAAAATTATTTTCAGATCTACATCTATATTTTTGGATAGATACAAATTTGAAAATAATTTTGTTGTACCATCAAAATAATTACGTTGAAAACAAAAAAGTAATGAGCAAAGCTGCAAACATTCTAATAATTTGAGTATTTTACATAATTTCTGTAATCCAACAAAATTATATTTCAACAAAATCGTTCTTTCTATGTATTACGATAGAAAATTTTTGTGAAGAAATATCGTTTTGTATTACATATACCCTTCGGATCGATGTCCCGTAATCTTCTTTCCTTTTTCATTCACGCGATTTGAATGTCGCACGTTTAACATACTGCACTTTAATTCTTTCGTTATATAACTATCCCTCTGATTCGTAAATTTTAAATGCTTTCCTCCACTCTATCTCGAATAATACTCGAGAGTCGCGTGTAAGGCCACGACTGTAAGCGATAAGCAATGAGCTACGACTTGTGAATGGTTGAATTTGTTTATTAATCTTTTTAATTGTTACTTGTTCCATATTATATATGTATGAAGATAAATTCTTATTTATTACATTTGTAATAAATTAATCTTACAGAAACCAATTTTAGATTTATCAGAATTCAGATATTTCAAGATCAATGTCGATATTGTTAGGAAACATATTCACGTCATGCATTACTCATCGAGTCATCGCTCGTCGTTCGTCAGTGTGCATGCGGTGGTCTTCCTTATATCAATCATATTTTCGGCAACTATCGCTATCGACGCCTTATTTTTCGTTTATGTTGCTTGAATTGCGTTGTTTACTCATCGACAGTGCAGTTGACGCGAGCGAGTTTTGCACTTAAAAAAAATCTGATAATAGCTACCAAATTTTAAGTGAAAAAATTTCAATCAAATATTCCGTTAATACAATAAAAAATAATTTTACTTTTCTAAATATTTAATAATTATTACCAAACATAACAATTTAATTAATTGTTTGATAATGATTACTAAATATTTAGAAAGTAAAATTATATTTGCCCAATATATTAACCCAACATTTGATTGAAATTCACTCGACGTTTGGTAGCTATTTACCAGACGTTTTTTTTCAGTGTGGATCGTAGAATACAAAAAGGCGTACGTCATCGCTCGTTGTAGGGTATCAGTTCGATCGGTGCATCAAGATGACAAGTCATGGCATGCGTTAAGACTGGCTTGTAGATCTCGCCAGGCTCCTCGGTAGTCCCCGGTGAATATCTGAAGAAGCGAGTCGTGTGGACAGGACGTCGTTAATCGCGCCGTCGAATTCTACCGCGACGCTGATCAATAATACAACAACCGATATCCCTCGGCCAGCTCGATCGCATTGGAGGATAAATCAATGGCGCATACTTCGACGGGGAGTTAATCGTAGACTCACTTACTCGGGGGTTTAATCCGTCGTGGCCGCGGGGTTGGTTAGTTTTTATCGGAGCCCGTGTAAATTACTCGATCGATTAATAATCGTAAACGGTCCACTGCCAGCTGTGACGGTCGCTATGTGGCCTGCCGGCCAACCGATTTATCAGTTTCGGGTAATTAAACCTGTTGCGTTATTAAATCGAGGACGTCAACGACGTTGTTGTTTTGTAAGCTTAATTTATTCGGCCGCGATTCGCCCGGGGCTCGCCTCACGAGCTCAGGTAGCTGATAAGTGATAACAGCCTCCGGCGTACGAGGCCAGCCACCGGAGTTAGATGACGAATGTCGCGACTCGTTTGCGATATAAGATCACGTCCGGTCGTATGACTCCACTCTCGTACTCGTATGAGCAAGGACTCCCGTTTGCGGGAAAGAATGCCCTCGAGCCTTGCATGCACACGGCGTGCTATCGTTTACATTATGTAGTTTTCTAACTTGTTTCAAGCCCATTGGCACTTTTAATTTCGGCAGGTACGCTCATGAAAGATCCGGATAAGCTGAAGCTGATGTTGCTCGCGTGGAATTATAATCTCCAGGCACAGGCGCAGGCACAGGTCCAGGCTGCCAACGCGGCTCTCTCGCCAAATAATTCGTCGACTACCACGGCTACCACTATTGGGACAACAATCACCAGCCAATCAGCCATTTCCACGGCGAACAACACTATTAACAACTCCACACTCACAGGTAATACCTTATTTCGTCGGCCGGCATGTGTCGCGATGTCCTAAGCTATATGCGAATGTATTCGCAAATTGCGCGTAAAATGTTAAGAAACCAAATGGCGTTTTTAACCTTTACAGGACGAGAAAGGCATTACAGTGGCGCTGAAATAGTGTCATATTTTCAGGCAAGAAATACAATGAAATAATGAATTATAAGTAACAAATCTTACTCAGGGAAAAGAGATTTTTAAAATAGACTCTCGTTCTTTAATGTTTTAAGTCCTTTTTGCAGATTAATCTAATGATTTTTAATTAGCAAAACGTACATTAGAGAAGAAAAAAAAATACTTCTTTCGGAAAAAGTAGTTCTGCTCAAGTATCTAAACATTTAGCTAAATACAGATCTTAAAATTTTATTTGATTATCAAAATAACTATGTAGTATGCTCAAACTGGTTATAAGAATGTCAAATTTTTTTCTAGTATTATTGTGTTTCACACATAATTTTTTCGGTAGTTTGGCAGGCAAAATTATTTTCAGATTTGTATCTAGCTAAATTTTTAGATATTTCAACAAAATTGTTCTTTCCGTGTATTTGTGCTTTGAGATGCATACAAACGATCTTAAAGACCGCACTAGATGAATTTTTTCTCCTTTCATATTTTCTACAATATTTAAAACATATATTTGAAACTTTCCTCGTAATCGTTTTTTCTTTTATTTCAACTTTTACAAGTTCTTATTATGAGACCATATATCTTAGAATTTAATGTCATTAACTGTTTTCAACGACTATCAATGAAGGAGAGAATTAATCGCAGCTGGTTGCATTACGTGCAAGTTCAATCACAACTTTGCTTATGTGATTGCGAACGTCACGGTATACGGAAAAAAAAAAAAAATTTGCTTGGTGAAATCGACAGGCGAGAGACGTTTAACGGAATCCATTACGGGACGAAAGATGTCTAGACGTCTTTCTTTCTTTCTTCTTCGTCGCGAAAGGACTCGACGAAGTTACGTACGCCAACGTCCCATTGATGTCGTTCTGACTGACGAAATCCCACTTATGAAAAGAACCTTGCTCCGCCTGGCGTAAGCGCAGCCGGGGGCTTTAATGTTCAAGTTTTGCGTCCTTCTCGCGCGTGTGACGAGCGGCGCGGCTCTGCTCGGCGGAGTGAATTGCAGGTTTCGCGGGGCCAAGGTGTACCGGCCATTTAGCTCGTAAAGTTTTGTCGTCGTGCGCGACGTGACTAATGGATCGCCGACCTAGGACGTACCCCGTGGCGTAAAAAGAGCAATTCGACGCGCGTCTCATTTGCCTATGTGTATTCGTGATCCGTGTACGCGAGCGGTCCCTCCTCGCCGTCTCACACCCACGCATTCCGGCGAAATCCGCGTCAGGGTGAATCGCGGGGGTGAGACACACGCCGTGAATTCTTGTGCTTTTTCCCCGCCGGCGATGAATCAGTGCGGGCAGAAAGCCGCACGCAAGAGATGAGGAATGCAACCGATATCTTTGAATATCGATACTTCTCTCGGAATTGGCGATGCGAATGTGGTGTGCATTATTGTACGTCATCCTCGTTCATTAATCCTTACGTAATCGCCACAGAAACTCGCATTCTTTCGCAATTCTGCAATCTTGTCTAAGCAGTGTCCGTTAAAACTCGAACTTTTTAGATCTGTCATTTGATTTTTTATGACACCGATATTTTTTAGAGTGTATAGTGGCGCTGAAATTGTCGCATTTTGAGGCAAGGAATTATAATAAAGTAATCTTCGTAAAGAGGAAAATTGAAATTTTAAAAATAGATGATATTTTTCAAGATTTTAAATTGGACAATGGCTACGTTTATACCGTGCGCTTAGTCCGCGATCTATACGATAAGTGTCTTTGTTTAACCTACAGGATAAACAAGGACATCTATTGTATAGGCCGCGGCCTAAATGCACGGCGTAAACGTAACCAATAGCTTAACGCGATGTTCCTTTGTTTCAACACGTTTCTGGTCTTTTATATTATGTGTCAAATTAATTTTCGATTACATCAATTGTATTTGGATCAATTGTATTATACATTGAAGAGTATCCAATATCCCCAGGATCGAAATTGTCTGTAACTAAATATTCAATACATTTATTTCGATACACAAATATCTTATGGTAGCTCGCATATTTGGCCTTATTTCATCTTATTGATTTATTCTTTGGAGCCTTTACTCAATTTGTATATTTATTTTAAAAATAGACCTTCACTTTCTCTCTCTCTCTCTCTCTCTCTCTCTCTCTCTCTGAGAGTTAAGCTTTTTCTGTCTGTCTTTTTGTTTCTTACAATACCAAAGTGTCGATGTTTTTAATATTGAAATACCGTTTGTATTTCCGATTAACTAGAAAAGGCATGCGCCTAAGACATTATGTACTTTGATATCTCGTGCTCGAGCGGCCTGGTTGAACACAGAGCCGAGTCATGTGAATGGGAGCGTCGAATGTAATGCGGTAATTGTGTCGGTCGATGGACATTGAAAGTTGAATATCGAAAATCGCAGAGTGGACGCACGGAAAGGCCATTAATCGAACTATTACGATGTCGTAAATGAGTCCCCCAAAATGATTTTGAATTATCTATTCGCTGCGTTATTAATGCTTGTGCAAGCTATTTTTCTAATGCAAAGAGCAAGAAATATTATGATTTTCATTAAAGTTATATTATGTAAAAATATTAAACGTATATGAAAATATTACGTGTATTTATAATAATTATAAACCGTATAAAATTTAATGAAGCTAGTAATTTCTCAATCAAATTTGATTTTAATTAAAATTTTATAAATCTAATGAATTCGCATTTTTAATAAAAAGATTAAATCCTTTCTATTCGTAAAATATCAAAATTAATGTTTCGCAAATTGCATATATCAGGAATTGCTCAGTTATTCCACAAAGTCAATGCTTTTTTTTGTTAATTAAACCGTGTTTACGCGAAATATCCTCCACGGCGAAAGAAATACGCGTGTTAATTGTCACGCTCGTCCTTAATGTCGCGATAACCGCGCCACGATCTCCAAGGCGCCGAACGTTTCCGCTTTCCGCGCGGTACTGCATACTCTCGGGACTCGTCTGTTGTTCAGTTAGGTTGCGGAAGGATAATTCACCGTGCCCCTCCATCTCGGTGCGCCTCTTCCACCTATCTTCCCTGGCAGCTATTTGAATATATATATATATTTATATAGTATATACGTACTATATGCGCATACCTACACATTCACCGCACAACGGACAGACCTCTCCTCTCTCGTCGCGCCATCCCTCCCTCCCTCCCTCCCACGTGATGACCATCGCAGATTCCACATCTTGCACGGAGGACTTCTCTCACCGCGGAGTCCGTCCACTTCGTAGACATGCGTTTCGCAAATCGATTTCTCGATGGAGCCGCTTCTTTTGCCGTACCATCACGAGCGAGGAAAAGCGACAGGAGTCGTCGGTTTGCCGGTCGCAAGTTGCAAGTCCGCGATTCGATCTGAGCCCTGATCTCTCGATGTAATCTCGCACCGCGGGATTCGCATTTTCAATCAAGGATTCGCGGTCGTTCGTAATTTTCTGCACGTCCCATTTTAGTTTAATTTAAGACAATCGAAATAATTTCTTAAAATTCAGTAATGTATATATTTTCAAAATATACTTACATATATATATAAGGAAAGAACGATTTTGCCGAAATATTCAAAAATTTATGTAGACAGATCTAAAAATAATTTTATTGAACCATAAAAACAATTATGTAGGGAATTCATCAAGCATGATGAACATTATTGCAAAAAGTTTTGACAACCAATTTGAGCGTTCTACATAATTAATTTTATAATCTGAGAAAATTATTTTCAGATCTCAACTAATTAAATTTTTAAATACTTCAGCAAAATCGTTCTTTCTATTATTATACACATCATGTCGTATAAATTAGATACCGTTTCGTATTTGAAAAATATTTATATTAACATAATTTTTTTTATATTAATGAAGGAAATTTTTTGGCAAATAAGTTGCGAAATAGCAATAATCTTATCCGAAAAATATCTAGATTGTGTTGAAATTGATGAAGTTTCTCGATAAAGTTACTTTATCTACTTGGATATTATGATAAAAAAGAGACACGACGAGACTGCGAGAACATCTTAGTTTCTCATCTCTTAATGCACTCCGCGGTAGAGTCGGCGTAATATTTATAATTTACAACGGACGCGCAACTTTCCCCAACGGGCGCATACGCGGCGATTATACTTGAGATATATCACAAAATCACAATGTCTTAAATATGACTGCTTCCGGATCTGAGCCATGTATCAAGATAATCATACATAACATTTGTCTTAAATATTTATTCTTAAAGATCGCCTTTTTGATAGTAATGAACATTCTATTTCAAATATGTTTAAATCATTAACAGCATTTAAAATACACAGTTAAGAATAATCGTGGAATCTCTTTATATCAATCATTACTATCTATTTGTCTTTATACAGTAAGTAAATGAATAAAAAAAATGTGTGAAACAAATTTAAGACTAAGAAAGCGAAACTAAAGACTCAAAAGAATCGTTACATAAAAGACTTCAGAAGTTTTCGAACGCGCGAAGTAACGAATGAAGAAATAAAAATGAAAAAGTCTAAAATATTATTGGAAATTAAATTAGTAATATAAAAATGAGTTAAATAAATTAATATAATATGAGGAAAACTTCATTTAATTGTCAAGAATAATATCGTCTAAAAGTATAAACCGAGAACTTCCGAAATCTCTTTCACGTCGGGCACGCACATGCCATCACGCGCAACGTTCTACTATGGTCAGTGACATTTATGAGGGACAAGATAATACGTCTTCGTCCATCCTCGCGATTACACGTTACCATCCCGAGCGGTAGACAGTTTCATACCTAGTCCGAAGTACCGTGGGCGTACGTGGCTTGTCTGTGGATTTTGTAACGCGCTAGGCTCACTCACATCATATACACGAGTATACGCAACACGAGAGCAGGAGAGAGTTGCCTAGAAAAAGAGGAAGTACTTGGTGTGGTCGTAGGGGCCGGAGTATTAGTTTCCCTTTGCGGGAACGCGAGGTCGAGGGAATGAACCAGGAGGAGGACGAACTGCCGGGTGGGGCTGACGCCGTCGCCGCCGCCGTCGACTCATTTCAGGTTCAGGCCAGCGGCCAAGAGGCGAACTCAGACTGCTCAGGAACAGTGCTAGTTGGTGTGGGATTGGGATTGGCAACCGGCTTTCTAGCCCGTGCAGGCAGTCTAGCCGTGCGTCCAGCTTCGCTTATGTGCGTGGCTGTTCCCTACCTTCTCCGACTTATTCTTCGGCGATACCCGGCATACGCTCGCCGCAGGCCGGGAACCCTCTCTTCGCTGTGCGTGTGATGCCGTACCCTCTTAGAGAGCGTTGCGCACATATACACATATTCACGTATACATATACACATTACGTACGTGCGCGATTTTTTCCGTAGCCTACGCGTACCGCATGCGTGTGCGTGTGAGAATCGAAGTGCAGCAACCTCCAAGTGGGATCGCGAGACTAAGAGAAAGATGGGAGAAGAGGGAGAGAGGGAGAGGCAGAGAGAAAAGAGGAAAGAAACGGTGCCTCCGCCAGCACGCCTCCTGGACGAGGGTCCAGTTTCCTAGGTCGCCCGCTCGCGCGTTCAGTTACTGGTTCTACCGGAATCCTCCTAGAAAGATGCGTTGCGATCGTTGAACAACTCGGAGGAATCAGGATCGCTCGTTCGAGCGCCTGAGATAGCTGCGTCCAGATAGACTTTTGCGTCTTCGTGCGGAGGAAGCGCCCGGCAGAAAGTTGCCCCTCGATGATGCAAATGTTCCAGGACGTTGCCTTGCAACGCGTTCGCTTCGACGGCGGGGTGGCGTCTTGGAAACTACGCTCGGAAGAATTCGATTCCAGAATGCAGATTACTTCGCGCACACAGCGAAGGAAGTAGATTTAAAAGAAGAACGTGCGCGCCTGGTTGAGACTAGCCGCATCATCAGAAAACAAATACATCTCATGTAATCGTATATCATCGTTCCGAGACATTCTTATTTTACATTTCTAAATGTGTCCAATTCTCGATCTGGATATTAATAATGAATAGAGACCCTACAATAGATTTTGGCCACGAGAGATTTTGTTCAAATTCTATAAGAGAAAAAAGTATACTATATATGTATACTGTCTCTTTGTATATATGTATACTATCTTACTCTAACTTATACTCTGTCTCACTCTATAACCTTAATTAACCCTTCATCGGCAATGTGAAATTTTTACTCTTCGTTCGCAATCTGGGTCTTCGAACTTCAGTGCAGACTTTTATAGCCGATATTCATAGTCCATGCTTATTTCAAGATAGTCTTAAGTAATATCTTAAAATGTTAAACGGTTCCGTGGTTGGCTTATGACATCTTAAGATTATAATTTAGACGGTCGTAAATATGAGAACCGACTATAAATATCAGCGCCTACATTGTTCCGAATAACTGTATAAAAATCTAAAAAAATTCTTACGTGCTTGTGAAAGCTTTAACGAGTTTTTACCATCATAGGAGTTAGATTGTATTTTACTTATTTTTTATATATTATAGATTTAAATTTATTTACCTGTATTCACAATCAAAAAATTCGACTATGTTTTTAGGATCCAACATTGGCGGTACAGGGCTAAGATTAATTATAGAGTGAGACAATCTAAGTTAGAGGAGACAGCATATATTCAAGGAGATTTTCTCTCTCGTAGGACTTTGATAAAATCGTTCGTAGCCAGACTTTGTTACAGGGTCTCTAATAATGATAGGAATAACGTTTTGGTCATCGTAAAAAGGATCTTTAAAATATAATTGAAATTTCCTTTTTAATACATATTTTATATTTTATATTTATCGGAATATATTTAGCGGGTTATGCATATTTATGAGAAAAGTAATTTGAGTAGCGTGTAGAAAATTAACGCGAAGTTGCCGGATGGCTTTGTACAGACATCTCCGTCGTTGACGTGTGATTGTACGAAATGGCAGCCGCAAACCTGTCCCTTTTTTTTTAAATCGGAACCAAGGAGAGTCCCAGGTGGAAGAGGTCCGCAAGGCTCGTTGGCCTCTTTACGATCCCCCTGCGGCACTCCCTGTCGACAATCCATACGCTTCTTCGTACGTGGAGTCTCTCGGCGGCCACGACTCGTACCTGTCCCCATCGACATCCTCTCCTCGTGAAAGCACCTTTACCATACGTTCTCTCCTGAGATCGTGACGGTAGAAGACCGCACCGCCTTTTAACACCTTGCACACGCTATCGGGGCTTATTACGGGTTTTGAGAACGGATCGCCGTTATTATTGTAGAGAAGAAACGCGATCTATACAACAGCCGGCCGAATGACGGTCTAGTCTTTTACTGTCGTTGACACAAGTGATATACTAAGTTTCATTTTGTCCTCTAGAGAGAGAGAGAATTCAACGCAATTTTGTCTGTCTCGTAGATTTGCTAATGCGTTGATTTGGTGTCAATTTTAATTTCTCTAAGATTTTCGCAAGAATTTTAGCACGGCAAAATTCATTCTGATGAGTATAACTGTAATCCAATTAATAACTGAATATCATACAAGTAACTGATCAGAAAAAGTTCGGTGTCAAGGTTATAAACTTTTTAATCATATTCTTCATATATATATATATATATATATTATATATATGTGTGTGTGTGTGTGCTAATGAAGAAAATCGACACTTAACTGTCAACATTTTAATATTTATCCCAAATCTCTCGCCGACTTTATTATGTAATAATTATTTATCAGGTGTCCAATCTGTAATATCGTTGAAGACCGAAAAATCACTGGAAAAAAGCTCAGCGACGGTTGTGACCGTTATCGAATTCACGACTGAATTCACATACCGAAATTCAACAGTTGATATCGACAATAACACGCACGCGGGTACAAGGCTAGAGAGTCGTTTAGGAAATGCTACCCTCTGTTGATCGATCATCCCTAATCAGTATCGTCACGCGAGCCGAACGTACACGGCATTTATCCTTATTATATTCACGGGATAAATATACCACCCACATGCTCCTCTTTCTCTTTCTCTCTTTCTCACGCGCGCGCTACTAGTCACGTATCTAGTTGGCCGCATATGACCGACTCCTCGCCTGGCCATGGCGTGGGAAGGGAAAAAATATTCCCTTCTTTTGTTCTAACCGCAACGTTCTCTATTCATAAATCGAAACAGCGCGAGGTGGCGATCTAATCATCGCGGTACAGCGGGCATTCAATGAGAACATTATTATTTTCCTGGTATTGCCGATGGAAGTTCCCCTTTTACTAGATAATTACCGATCGCGAATGCAAAGTGTTTCTATCACCAAATTTGCGTTATTAATTAGTAGTAATTATTAAAAATACCATTGTTCATATTACGGTCATTATTGATGCTAATAATACTAATAATATCCATTTCAAATGACATTTAAATAATAATAATTAATTATCATCATTACCGTTATTAAAACGTTAATTATACCTATACCAATTTCTGCCTCGTTGATGAGAATTACAAAAATTTAGACTTCGGACTTCCGGGAGTATGTGCTAAACCATTACAAAATGTTTACTTTCGCAGATTCTCGAAACGGTTCATCAGAATTGGTGGACATGCCAACGGGAACTGTTCCGAATCTAAGCGCTGTGGCGGGTGTCGGTGGCGAAGACATGGCTTCCTTGTGGGCATCTTATGCTATGGGTTTCAAGAAAACGCCGCCACCAGCATCGGCGGCAACGCCCTCGCGGACGGATCGCGATCGAGAGTCCAGTCCGCCCGGTGGCGAGGGGACGGGAAGCGCCCACGATGAAACCAGCAGTAGTGGCAATAAGGAAGACGAGGACGACGATGATATAGACGCGGACGAGGGACTGGATCCGAGACACCACGATCCAGAACGTCTCAAGGCATTCAATGTAAGCATACGCCGTTCAATTACGTGATTTCATAAAATTTATTCTTTGAAAAATTTTAGAGATATATTTTGAAATATCTTGAATTGTAAATTTAGAAAATAATTAGCTCTCCTTGTTGCAATGTGTAATTTTTCATTTTTTGTCAGAGTAACCTGGCTCTTCGAACTTTGACGCAGATTTTTATATTGTTCCGGACTGTATAAAAATCTGAAAAAAAATTTTCATACTGATGAAAGCTTTAACGAGTTTTTACTATTGTAGAAATCGGGTTGTATTTTACTTATTTTTTACGGATTTAAATGTATATCTATCAGAATTCACAATAAAAAAATCGACCGTGCCTTTAAAATCTCACATTGCCGGTGGAATTTTAGCGATAATTATTACTCTCATTATCCTACACTCGATGAATTAAAATGCGTACGGATAATCGAATTACGGTTCACACAATGACGGTCTAACTGATTGCTTTATGCAACTGTCGTTGCAAGAAAAGCATCGTTCGCGCCTTAGATGGAAAAAGAGATCGTGCAAAGGGAGAAGAAAACGAAGCTCGGACGTAAAAGTTCAGGCCGTCAGCATATTGGCGGCGCGTCGGACCTTCCCGAAAACCCTAATTATCGTAAAGTTTTATGAACGGTTGCGGCAGAGAGCCGACTCGTCGGGGAACAGGGCATGCCGTTTCTCTCTAAGTTTTTCCCCTTTATGTCTCGTTTCTCATATATCTCTTTTTTTGTCCGTTTTCCTTGCGCGTGAAAGCCAAGCGATTGTAGTTTCGCGGCGGCTGCTGCTGTTACGCTAGCTCCTTAATTAATTACAATTAGTTTAATAGAGTCCCGGTGTTACACCCCACCCCGCCACTAAATTCTTAATTCTTTGAGCGGTTAGCGAGGCTCGCGTACCAGCTCCCGTTTAATTCACTTCACTAACATCGCCATTGCGTCGTGTCTCGCGGCAGATGTTCGTGAGACTCTTCGTCGACGAGAACCTGGATCGCATCGTGCCGATCTCGAAGCAGCCGAAGGAGAAGATACAGGCGATCATCGATAGCTGCACGAGACAGTTTCCCGAGTTTGCTGAAAGGGCCAGGAAGAGGATCCGTACGTACCTGAAGAGCTGTCGGAGAAACAAACGTGGCAGGGAGGGCCCTTGGGATGCCGTAAGTTTTCTACTATCGCGTTTAGCTAGTCGTAAGACAGCAAGCCGATCAGCTTCTAAGTTTTTAATTCTGACATATTTTTAAATTCAAAATAATTCGTAATTTTAGACTCGCGCATGAATTTTTTGAGATTTTTGAATTTGCTATTTCATTACTGAGAAAAATGTCTGATTGAAAATGGACGAATCAGAAGATTCTGATCATATCAACTAAAATTCCAGTTACCTCAACTAGAATTATAGTAGATTTAATAAAAAAATTCTAATTCATAATTTTTAAAAGTCTCGAGTTATCCATTGCTCATGAAAGCTCTTGAGCATTCTCGCGACGTGAATCAAGTTCGGTATGCGGCGAATGATCGCGGATGTGACGTATGTATTTCTTTTTAGGCCAGACCCACGCCGGCACACTTGACCTCCGTGCAGGCCGAGCAGATTCTGGCAACGGCCTGCGAGAACGAGAGCGACAACGCGAAACGTATGAGACTTGGAATGGAGCCGGTGTCGCAGCCCATGCCAACTCTTCCGGCCGCAACGGTGAGTAATAATCATGTGCGAAGGGGAGGAAGGACACACTTATCGCGAGCGACAAAGTTCCTCTGGCAAATAGACATTTCGACATCATCAGCTTGGCTGGTAATTACATGTCGCAACTCACACTCGCGTCTCTGGCACGAGAACGACGACACGACAGGGACACCGAAATATATTGTCGATCGATTTAAAGCTCTTTGTTATTGTCCCCCGATGAAGATCACACGTGTCTCTTCACGGACATTTTTTTGAATATCATGCGTGACTGAGCGTTAGATGCTACACGTGCACAACCTTCGGGCGTTCTCGTTGACGACCGGATTCATTAATCAAGCGATTTTTAGATGACAACTCGCGGATGTTTGCGCGATGCGCTTATGAATCATAAACTGAAATATGCAAAGCGATAACTTACCGCAGTAAATATAAATCTATGTGAGAGTGGAATTATAAGAGAGGAAATAGATTAATTACTTGCTATGGTATCGAAATCAAAATAAAACGAATTAGATCAAGGTCATCATATAAGTATTTACTATTTTCTACAAAAAGTCAGCAGATAATATAGGATATTACTAAATATAAGATACGATCAAATACTATATAAATAAACGAATTAGTAAACTTTCAAGTCTCATAAAAAGCATCATCTTCATTATTTGTTCCTATAGCGTCACTTTTTTATTCACGAACATGTGGTGGTGATGTGTATCATGCAGCAAATGCGTGTACACGAATAACGTATGAACTTCAATAATTTTCTAGTATTTCGATCGATCGTTATCTTCGTACGAGGGACTACGTTCGTAATTGTATCTTAATGCACTTATACATTTCACTCTATGCATTTGAATTTTATTTCTTTACGCTTTCATTACTGAAATAAATATTTTAACCGCACTTATTCAACTTGTAATTTATTTAATATTATTCATTATTTAGTTTTGATAATGGGTATATAAAAAAATTAAATAATTTGAAAATAATGAACGAGCAGAAATTAGGATAAAGCGACAAATGTCGCAGGAACGAAAAGATCTTAACAAATATTGCAGGAACACGCGTTCTTAAAGATAAAAAGATAAATCGTAAAAATAAAAAAGAAAATGAAAACGAAGAAAAGGACGAATGAGATTTCAAATTACGAGCAAACGTCGTAGTCTCGCGTTGTATTATCGTGCGTGAAAATTTGAGCTCCTGTGTAACGCCAACGGCAGCGAGATATACGTGGACGGAGAGCTAGGATTGTGATATAGGTACCGCGAGAGAGGCCAGTGATAACCCGTGGGTCGCGCACCTCTCCCACTCTGATGCAACTCACGCATACAGAACGCGCACCACGGAGGGCCGCAGCGGCGGCATAAGCAGCCTTCGACCTCGTGAAAACGCCTCGCGTGTCCGTGCGGGATGGAAGACACTGAAAATATTCTTGGAAGTAGTAGCAGCGTAAAAGAGTGGCGCGGGATGGAAAAGAAAAGAAAAAAAAAAGTCGTGGACTTTTATGCGTCGCGACTGACGCGCGCTTTCACGCACCGAGGAGAGAACACGCCGACGCGTCGTGCGATTAGTCTCGCGTATCCGTAAATTTCACGGTACGTTACGTCAGCGAAGCCAGACAGTTTCGTATCCCGAAGAGCCGCGCCGAAAGATTACGGTCGAGAGCTCTTCGGTCAGCGAGAATCGGATTGATTCTCGAAAATTCATCCGGCGCCCACTCGAAAAAAGAAAAATCGGCTTCATTCTCATCGATACTTATATAAATCGCTCGTGTTGACGTCACGCGTCTAATCTCAAGGTGAAATTATTTCGACGATTCGATGATATGGAAACTTAATGCTCATTACCTAATAGTCTCGCACATCGAGTTCGTTGACCTTAACAAAGATAGCGTGAAAAAACGAGTAAACGGTAAACCGATCGCTTCGATATTTCGTGCACAAAACGTGTAGGTGCAGACGGTAGCCGGAGCCATCCAATTCCGCGCTGTTTGGCGCACCTAATCCTCATTCTCCCTCTTACCCCTCTTCTCCCAGCTGGTTCCGTCATTGGGTTTCGCAGTTGGCGAACACTCCGTCGCTCTCCATCGTTCCCTCTCTCTCTACCTCTATACTACGTCTCGCGCGCAAACGAGAAACTGAAACGTTCGCGGTCCCCCCCTCCCCTCCCCCCCGCCGGTCGCCGATCTCCTCGCCTTATCTACTTTGAAAATCCCTGCGCGAGAAGGAGACGGAGAAACAGAGAGAGACCCGATAACCTCTCCGGCGACCTAAACCTAACCCATTAAAGAGAAGACCTCTCACATACGTATGCTGCGGGGTCCGTGCGCATCGGACGAAGCGGCTATCTGCTCTCCGTGACCACCTATATAATTGACGTCAACGCACACTGCTGGCCTTTCATAATCTCATCGTGCCCGGACCCTCTTCCCGCGCTCCTCACGATCTCTCGGTTCTTCTTCATTCTCCTCTTCCTCCCCTCCTCCTCCTCCTCCTCCTACTACTATTACTCTCTTCGCCAACCCTCTGTACGCGTCGATCTCCTCTTTCGCCGGGCAAGTCATCCGTTTCTGTGGTGGAAACGCACATCACCACCTCTCTCTCACCGCGTGGTCCTCCTCTTCTTCTCTTTCTTTTCTCTCATGCCTGGCTTCTCCCTCCTCGTCTCTTCTCTCTTTCCACGAATTAATTTCCTCCCGTGAACTTATTCACGCCTCGTCGTTTCGTCCCGGTGCATCCGGATGTTCTCTCTTCTTGTTCCTGACGTTCCTCCCTCGTGTCAACCCGCTTTTTCCTCATCTTCGTCGTGTTTCGCTCCATTCCTCCGTTTCCCTCGCCGATCGGGAACGGCGTGGCGTCCTCGCTTCTCTGAACCTCGCTCGAAAAACGCGGACGTTATTGTTATCGTATCGATATACGTCGCTGAGTAGGCAGGGTGGGGCGCGAACGCAAAAGTGGAAGAAGATTAAGAGAAGCAGAAGAGAGGAAATCGAAGTGAAGAAACTCCCGGCGCGCTTTGTTCCGCTCGGTTGCTCATAGCGGTGAATACGATCGTGCTCGATGATCGGGATCGCGTTGATAACGAAATCGCGGATGGACGATATAATAGAGGCTCGATTAAGCTCGCATCGGGACGATCTACGCGGCTGATGATCGGTAATTCGTAAGGTGATCGATAGTGTCCGTGCTGTTTGTCAATTAGTTAAACGTGTTTGCGAAAGATTGGTTACTTCCGGTCGTGTCAGCCATGAGGAAAAAGAATCTACCGGTAGTTCACAAGCTGGTGCGCGATCACGATCAAATTCAACAGGTACAATTATAGCAGTCTTGCCGCGCTGTTATTTTATCATCGCTCTTCAATATCTTCACGCAATTGTAAGAATAAGAACAAATTAACAGTTGTTTGTTTAATATTTTATGGGGGAGACTTGAGAATTTTTTAATTTTCCCAGTCGATACAAACTAAAAATAACATAACATCAATGATATAATTTCGCATTCTCAACAATATAAATGTAATATAGCACATGACGTTACATAATAGTTACATTGTTGAGCGCGAAATTATAATATTGATGTTATATTACTTTTAATTCCCTGGTGAAAGTAAAAATCGGAGCGTAAGTTGAATGTAAGAGAAAAATGACAGAAGCGTAAACGAAACTTTTAGAAGATAAAAATTGGGATAACGAATTGTAAAAAAAGTGTTTATGCTTTTGTTACGTTTCAATTTTTGCCTCTTTCAAAGTTTCATTTACACTTCTGTTACTCTTTTCTTATTTTTCAAATCGGTGTCGAACTGGGCTATATTTCGATTATATCGTAGTTAAATGTACAACTTTATAGGATAAAATATTAAATAAACGTATAACCGAAATTAGTTGGATTTAAACATATCCAAAGGATCTGCAGAATCGCAATACTCGACATAATTCTAAAATATACTGGAATGTGACCTAATACCATATTAGCTCATAAATTCGTGCTAAATTCGTTTTTGATCGAGAATTGGATTAAAAAATATTTAATACTTAATACTTTAATTTGATAATTATAGATGTTCGATTAATGAACAATACGTTATGATCGTCAATGTCGAAATTGAAGAATCAATTGTATCTTTAAAATAAAATTGTTACATGTTATTCTTCAGCCATAGAATATATATTAAGAGTCCTATATTCTTTATTATATGATTTTATTCTTCAGTGTTTGCTTTAATTAAATACGTGTACATATATGCATAAATTAAACATTAGGAGAGACAAATTATACATATTGGTATAACAATTTACTTTATTTCACTGTAACGTTGATTGCAGCAAACGGACGTTCGATCAAGTTTGGAACATTTCTCGAGCACACCGGTTAAATCACTTCCGTGTAAGAGGGAAGATACCCCTCCGGCATCATTATCGTCCCTGCCATTGACCAGTTTGGCGAACTTACCGAACAACACCATCTCCACGCCGCTGGCGATCGCATCCGCGTCAAAGCTGCTCACAACAGACAACAAGAGTCTCTTGAGGTCAGTATGATGAACTACATACGATGAAATCCGCGTTTTCTCGAATTGGCGACGTAATAGAGCCGCGCTCTTAATTAGCTACTCACTCAAGATTTGATATAAAGAAGAAAAATATATTTTTCTCGAAACTTCCGCGATGAAAAACATCGATTTATCGTTAACTTCTTATTTTAATTGCGAAAGAAATCTACCATTACGTTGCCTAGCGTGATTACGATTTACTTTCCGCCTGAATTACCGTAACCGATTATTACTATCGGCACTAAGATCCCCGTCGTCGAATCGACCGAGTTCTAGATAAGGCTTCGCCTTCGGTCATAGGTCATGGCACAAAAATTCACCGGACGCCTCTCGTCGAACGGGTTATGCGTCGGGTTCTTTAACGGAACATGAAGCTCTAATCAGCGCGACTTTTATCGCTAACGCGCATCTCATTCTCATTGCGTCTGTTTTTTTTTCTTTTTCAGCCAATCGACGATAGTCAGTTCCACGGTAAATGGTGTCGCCAGTGGCGGTGCACCGACGATGTACAGACCCAACTTCAGTCAAGCGTTCCAGCGTGCCGGGCCCACAACGGTACCGCCGACCCTCTCAGCCGGGCTATATCCAACTCAAAGTTTTACGTCAAGTCTACTAAGCAACGGTATACAAAGTAATACTGATTATTGGTGTAATATGTTATTACGCTTTTTTTAATCATTTGCCCGATCAGGAAGTTACTTAATACCAAAGCTTTAATCAGCTTTGATTAAAGTTTTTATTTATTTTTTCATGTTTTTTTTTATATTTAAGTTTCGAATATTTTATTCGCGTCCAATTGGCAATTTAATGATTACATGGATTAATATATTGTTACTATTTGTTTGCAGTGCTGCAATTTTGCGAGAACAGTAATGCTTCGGTTTAACACGTTCCGTACCACGCCAATTTTAAGTGACTTGATCATTACACTATGTGGATCACCGACTACACTATTTGATCCACGATATTTTTGTTTGCGTTTGTTGTATTTGTTAAATAATATTTATTTCATTTAATAATTAAAAAAATTACAAGTTTATTATTATAAAAAAGGAAACATAATATATCATTATTGCATTACATATCATAATTACATTCATGTATGATATCAAGAATTATTGTATAATTACTTTTCTTTTTATAGCCCAAAATATCAAATAGTTTGAACAGAAAGTTCAGCGTAAACCCACGCGGCACGGAACGTGCTAATGATTCTTTATGCTGCAGCTCGCATGAAACTTTATCTCATAACATGTTTGATAAAGTTTGCTAGAATACTTTGGAATTGTCGCGCGCAATTGATTTTGAATTTACGTTATCCTTGCAGGACCGACGGATCTTAGCATGAAGAACCCACCAAAGCCTGCTCTACTGAGTCATAAACTGAACTCGATGGAACTGACCGCGGTGAAGCAACTGATAGGTGGATATCGGGAATCAGCTGCCTTTCTGCTCAGATCTGCCGACGAACTGGAACAACTGTTGCTCCATCAACCATAGAACTACGTTTATTTGGCCAGCGTTCGGCAGCTTGGCTCGTAGTTACAACGATCGACAGGAAAGCGATGCGAGTATTGATGTGCACACAGCGTCTGTATGAGCACCGAGAGTAACGCAGTCAGCGTAGATTCGTTTCTTCAAGACCGTTTATACCGCTATTCTATCGGCAATTCTGACTCTACACACGAACTTATCTTTTGCCACAAAATGGTCCATTTGGGCGAACTAAACGCATTCGATCCAATAAGACTAGGGTGCAAGATTATAATTTGTATTTAAATGATTTAAATGTCGAAACTCAAGAGTATAATAATTTGAGAATAATTTAAGAAATTAGTCGGAGTTACTTTTATGATTGTATGTAAGAAAATTGTTTTCGACGAAAGTCGAGAGGCTATAATCGCGACGAAAAATTCATACTGAAGAGTTTTTATGCGAATTTATCGTTATATTGACTGCGTTCGGGGAGCGCGCTATCAGTATTATTTGTCATATTATCTTTGTTTCACATCTAATAGATGATGAACATAGAATGACACAAATAGCGCTAATAGCGTCTCCCTGAATGCAGCCATTTGATTGAAAGCGCCAAAAACAGAAGAGTTCCATATACATAATGAATAATTGCATATTTCATTATATGCGTCGTCGCGATATTTTTAATTCTAGGATTAAGAAAACTATTCGAACACAGGGTGTACATAAAAAGATATTTACTTAATTACTCATAAGCTTAAAGAATGATGTGGCGAGCTAGGATGTGTGCGCGAGTGTAAGGAAGAAAGTTGAAAAAAGAAGAAGCTTCCGGACAAGTCATTTGGAAGCGTGTGCTAGTATTTTCTAACGGGGATGAAAAAGTCCCGGAACTTCTTCTTTACGGCCGGGAGACGCACTTGCATTTTTTCCTACTCAGATTCGTAAGCTTCGAAAAACCGTTCGTGAGAGCTTCACAAATCTATTGCAAGTATCTACTTCAACCGTTTCGATGATGGTCGAAAAAAAAGCTGTTGTATGTTCTTACGAGACGGTAATTTCGCTAATCTGTTTGTTGTCGTTATGTACATATGACGTAAATGATATATGATGAGAATAGTTACTCTCATGCGTGAGAAAGCGCGATTAATTTGTAACTAAACGCGGTGGAATCGCTCCATTTACTTCGAGAGTGGCGTACATCTGAAGAATCAGTTCAAGATACGAAAACAACGTGATAAAATTTGAATTTTAGAGAGATTATCAAAATTATTGATTTTTTGCCATTTTTGAAGCAAATGGTGGATTAGATGAAGATTTTACGACAGTCATACGTGTATATAGAAAGATAATGCATTCGCGCGCATTGATACGCGTGTATATAATACGTAGGTCGTAAAACAAGATTTTTTTATTGGCGATGCGTCAGAGGCCTCGTCAGTGGAAATTAATTAGCTAATCAATTAACAATAACTGTACAACGTCGTCGTAATATAGTTAGACCAGAGTCGTTTTGGAAACGGAGGAGCGTAGTGATCGGGAGTATAATTTCGGGACCATCTTGTCACGATCGGACAATACGTTAACCGTATTCGTGGTCTCCGGACGCATCACTGTGTTACCAAAGAACACTAATTATTATGGGTAATGTACGTATAGTACTATGTAAGAGTCGCGTTCTTCTTCTTTCGTTATTCCTGTCAGACAACACTTCTGTTATGGAAGCGCGAAATCATTTTCTCCATTGACTAATACTACGGAGATAGATATATATGCCACTACATGTGGATTACGTGATAACTATACGCACTGTCTCAGATTATGAGTTTACCCATCATTCTTTTTATTAATATTTAGATTATTATCGCTATTGTATTATTATTATTTTTATTATTATCATTATCATTATCATCCTTGTTATTACCATTATGATTATCACTGATATTATTGATTGCGAATCAAGGAATCGCGAGAAGATAATTCGCGAGATAGTACGAATAGTTTACTTTGTTCTTTAATCGTCATTTTCCACGGAGAGTTTCCGCTCGTTAAGTCTACTTTGTCGTTGTTTTGTACATAGTTTATGTACATTATAAACGAAATGCATATAAAGATTGTGGAAATTAAGTTGCTTAAGTAATTAGATACAAAGAAGAGTATATATATAAATATATATGTAAATGCAAAATATCTTTATGCAATCAATTGCTGATTATTGTCATCGTCGAACTCCGCGCAGAACATTCCAATGAAAGAAAAGCAAATAGAAAAATAGACGAGGAAAAAAATGAACAAGAAAAATCTAAAGAAAGAATTTTATTAAAAAGTGAACTGGAAGAAAGAGAGAGAGAGAGAGAGAGAGAGAGAGAGAGAGAAAATGCGTGAAAGAGAGAAAAAGAAATTATGTGTGCATGTATATGTGTGCGCGCGATCATTGAACATGCGCTCATCGAAGATTTTATGGAAATCACGACTTTTATTGACCGACGATAGTCGTTCTTCCATCTTCCTTTTCTGTTTGCGAGTAAATCACCGTGGCGAAAATGCGCCCGTCATCGCGAGATCGAAATCACAATAATGTTCGCGGCACTTTAGTGAGAGAGGATCGAATAAAGCGTTTCGTCAATTGGAATTAATTCTTATTGCCTCAATCATTTGAAACTTTGAATACTTGCGAAGTTGGTACACACGCCGCCCTCCCCACGAATACAATTTATTACCCGTAGTAAACGGACTCGTCTCTTTAACCGACACAGTGCAATAGTCTATAGATACCGTTGTTCTACCGTATATTGTCAATCGTCGTCACGATCATGCTTCTGTCATGTACGACATAAATAGTCTCAGCCATCCCAGCCCACCATTTTACGCACATTGTCCCTTTGGTTTCAAGCAGGCATCACATTTCTTCATGGATATTAGCAGTTATTGACAAGTTCATATCTTACCACTAGCATTAATAGCGTACATTTATACGTAATTCACCTCAGATCTTTGTAGCCACATCGCGAGGGCCGAGCTCCGTTTTGCGTACCACATGTTTCTCCCTCCCCCCTCGAATCCGATGACCAATAATGTTCACTGCGTGTTCTGCTAATAATTAATATGATTATATACCTCGACGAATTTAAATCTAAGATTGGATTCGTGAAATTCGAGAACTAATCGAAAGGAATTAATTGTAAATATTATTTTCGACCAAGTAAGAAGTGACTCTAAAATAAGAGTCGAATAATTGATTCTGTCATTGATATATATATATATATTATATACATATATATAAATACATATATAATATATATATGAAATATATATAAATATATGTATAAAATATATATACAATATATATATATATATAAATAATTGTTGCAGTTTTCGCAACTCGACTGATCCGAAAAACTTGGAACTTAACGTACATCCAAAATACGGAGTAAAAGGAAAAGAGAAAGATGAAGGAGACGAGACAGAGGAGAAATTTATGGAGACCGAAGAAACGTGCGATACCACTCTGTTCTTCTTTCTTTTCCTACGTTCGATAAAAACGTATCCGTCGTGTACCTTAATTCGCCTACGCGGAAGTGCAGATCTACTGTTCATATATAGTCGCGAATCGATGTATATTGATTAATGAAAAAAAATATGTATTTGTTCCTAAAGAAATATTAAGAGTAGTATAATATATCATAAAAGAATATTAATATTAATAGTAACGGATAACGATAATTTGATGGTACATACTTTCTTATAAGTAACATTACACATTACTACGATTATTGTAGAGTTGGTACGGTTCTTGAGGATGCCTTGCCTGTAAATGTAACATACGTTAAATGAAAAAAAATCTTATTATCTTGTAAATGTTTTACCAAATATAATCGATTATTCAACTTATACTTCGGTTCTGTTTCCTTTATCCAACCCACATCGACGTGCTAGTAAGATTTACGACTCGATTATATATTTCTTTTTTTTGGTTTTATTGTCGTTAGTTCTTCTGCATAATTAATGTCAATCAAAAAGTCCCGTAAAGCCGCAGCTCGCACGATCATAAATATTGAACGAAATGGAAAGTTAAATAAGAACCGCGATGCAAGATCATGATCTTGGTTCTGAATTATATGAAACTCTACCTTCTCGCAACAATGTGGCAAGATTTAAAGCTTATTACACCTATTCATACACCTTTTCGAGAAATCTTGCGCAGATGCTGGTATTTATTTTATACTTCACCAAATAAGGAAATTACGTAATATATACATAAGGAAATTACATCTTCATGTGCAATGTAACATTTTAATCTAACTTAAATACGATATTTTATTGTCAGACACATTACTACGATTTTTCTTAGCGCGGCGATTTCTTCTTTTAAGTAAGGTATAATCAACGGAGCATTGAAAGTGTTAAACGAAATATTGTGTCTAATTAACAAAATTACTCGACATATATGATATTTCGTAATGTGGATCTGAGAAATGATCAGTGGCAATGCAATGTGGTCTTATGTGGCACACAATGGAAAGTCACGAATGGTGCAGCAAACGATTTTTGCTGCAAGGAGATTGCGAAACGGCACCGGTTACTCGTACAGAGCAACTTAGATCACGCTGGAAGGCCGCAATGTTGTTACGAATGATTTCAATTATCTCTTGATCAACATTTTTTTCACTAATACTTTTGAACAGAACAAGACAAAAATACTTGAGGTAATTTACACGGAAATATGTTTAAAATTATCACGAATATTAATAATAAGTAATAGATTATTATTATTATGGACATTGCTACTTAAAAAAACAATATAATTATATATAATTTTTTATCCGTTTTTATTCCTTCACTTCGTAATAATAGAGTCCATGGAAACAGCGAGCGGATAAAATCTGCGCGATCACGCGAGTACGATGGCCGTCGTGAGAGTTTCGATAGTCTCATACTGAACACACCGGATCGTTGGGCGAATGTTTAGTCACCATCGTTTTCGAGAAATGATTTTTGACCAAAAGTTCGTCCCACCGAGGAGCGCGAAATCCCACGTAAGGCACGTACACGTGCGTAAATGCACGCAAATCGATCCGCGTGTCTCGGAACGAGAAATATCGGCGGGAGCTCGTTTCTTCGCCAAGAATCGTAAAGCCGTTTCTTCCGCTGGGCTCTCCGGAATAACATCTATCGGCTGACAATGCATCATGGGCTTTACGAAGGCTTTTGCATTCGAATGGCCCGTAGGTTTCAAGAGACCCAAGGAAAACGTCGAGCAGCTTGGACATACATACATACATATGGTTTCTTATATGTATATGTGCAAATGCATATTTTACGTGTGTATACGTTAAAATTTTTCTTATGTCGATTGTTTAATTTTATAAATAATCTATTCAAGAAAAATTACATTAAATATTAATGAATACAAATATATTAACCCGGGAACAAGTACTTGATTCTTTTTTTTTGTGTAAACGATCACCAGGAATTTACGCTCAATTAAAATCAATACGGTTGAGCAGTATTAAGTTAAAAAGATAAAAGTTAAGTTAAAAAGTTAAAAAGTTAATTAATTCTAACTTAACTTAGTTACATTTCAGACTCTTAACTTTTTAATTTAATTTAGTTACATTTTATCGGTAATTATTAACTTTTAATTTGATTTTTTTTAAGCCAATCCTCAAACACAATGCGAGAGGATAATGAGTACATAATTTAGTAATTTTATATTATATAATCGTCACTTGTGAACAATAACCAGATTCTTTAATAAATATGCTGTGAGAAAGAAAAAAAAAAGTAAAATGGTCAAACTTTTTCTTTTTTTGAGAAAGAGAGAGAGAGAGAGAGAGAGAGAGAGAGAGAGAGAGAGAGAGAGAGAGAGAAGGAGAGAGGGGGGAGGGGGACAAGTGCTTTGTCGCGCAAGTGCGCCAGAGTCAGTGTGTTTTCTATATAGTTATCAAATATAGCTAGTGTAAAAGAAGATACATTAGTATAATAATACGTACACATACGTGTGCGTATATAGATACTTGGCATATTTCACGCGCGTATCTAATCACAGGCAAAATAATAGGTATGTAACACATTGCTCGTCCTTGGTTACATCGGGCGTGGTGTTCGCGATCATAACGGATGTTTCTGCAGCAATAATTTCTTTCTCACGCGCTCCAGTTAGATACCCGATGAGATATTAAAATTACAACAAAATTAATAATAATATCTAAAGTTCAAGTATCATTATTGAATTGATTTAATAAAATTTATTTAAAAAACATTTGTATTTCAATTATTAATTTATACAATTTATGTTAACAATATAATATAGCTTTTGTTGATAATTTCTGTAATATTTTATTTTCATTCTCTTTGCTTCATTTAAATATTGTATATCATTTTTGACAAGTTTAATTAAAATATATAATTTTATATAAATGTAATGTGTCTATAAATGATCATGAAATTAGTGTTCATTATCAATCTCGCGTTTTCATTTTTGTGTTTATTTTGTGATTGATAAGATATCACGAGATTCGTAACGAGCTCTCATTAAAAATGAGCTATATTTTTACATTGTACATAATTAATTAATTAATTAATATTTATATAACCAGACTTGCTTACGTATCATGCCTACATAACGATCTCGATAAACTATCGTGGAATAATTACGAGTACTCATTAAAAGGCGTAGAAATAATATTGATGCATCGCGCTGTAAACAACAATATCGATACCTCTGTGAAATTAATATTCTGTTTTCAGAATTTTCATATAATTGATAAAACCATCGCTGGAGCTACCAACATTTTATTAATTATCGAAACTTAGCTATCTTTACAAAGATAACATCGCGCATTGTTTTTGTGAGAAGCCAAAGAATACGAAATTTGTATCGTTTTATCTCTGTATTGTTTTCAAATTTACGTAATCCCTTAATTGCGATATGATCTCACCCACGAGATTTCTTGCTTAAATGAGTCCCTGTGGCCCGAATTGTCGACAATGACGAGCAGTTTCGAAGATACGCTAACATTTGACTTTTAGTTGGATGTTTTTTATGCGTTTCTATGTACGTCACGCACATAGAATGCTTCCGTACTGCTGTCCTGTAATTCAGGTTTCAGGTACAATTAATGATTTCCGTTGCGCTCGGCGCAGCCTCGGGCGATTCCAGCCTCGCGTGATTCTAATACGCTCTGCCCTTTTTATGTAACAGCCTTATTTTCTCGAAAAAATAAAAAATTGCGATCTTTTAAAGAGCGTTAAATTCTTTCACGAAGCGTAGCAAAATTAGTTGTTTATGATCTAAATTAATCGTGTGTACAAAAGCAAAAAGACAGGAGAAAATTTTCTGTGAAATTTTATTATATACAGAGCAATTTGAATTTCAAATAAGTAATTTTCAGTGTCAATAATTTATTTTAAAAAAATATCGAAGAGGTGTTTATTCGAAAATTGTTAATACTGACAAAATAATTGATGACGAAAATCACGAAATGAGTATTAGACAAAAAAAAAATGGAAAAATATATACAGTGAAAATACAGAAAAAGAGAAAATACACACTTAGAGAAAAACAGTGACAATAAAAATGACAATTATAAATTTTATATGTAGAATTAATGTACACACAGTTGAATAAACTAATATACAGGGTGGGGCATTTTAATCGTCCAAGGCGAATATCTCTCAGAAACTAAGAGAGATACAAGAAAAAGTTTTATATGAAAGTTGTAGCTTTTCTTGAGGGAAAGAAGGTGGAAATAACGGATTTTGGATAGGGGGCATCACCAAGATGAGGTCAAGGTCAACATGAATTTTTTAAATGCTACAAGAATATGCAAAAAATGGGGGGTTCCCTATATACAGGGTGGCCCATGTAAAGTGTCACAAGCTATTATCTCTGAAAGTGTGTCAAATGACTAATATGTTCAGACAAAAGTTGTATGACTTTGAGGAGAGCAAGATGGTACCATTTGGTTGACCTTGGATAGCGTTGTCAAAGTGAGAGCAAGACTATTTTGAATTTTTTAAATGGAACCTCCCATTTTTTATTACATTTTCTTGTAGCTTACCTCGAGAGCTTTTCAAAACACTATAATAAAATATATTTTCATTAAGTATTTTTCGAGTTATAAGACTCAAAAGTTACAGTCGGCATTAGTATTACGCAAGGTGTCCAACCGACGGCTAAAACCTCTTGAATGTTGTTCAGGATCATGTCCTGGATTACATTTGTCAAAATCAAAACCATTAGAGGTTGTACTTTTTATTTTCATTTTTGCACTAAAAATTCATTTCTACGTAAAAATGAAAATAAGTACAACCTCCAATGGCTTTGATTTTGAATCCTGTTGAATGCTGTTGATCAAAGCTATCGATGGCGATAAATCTCGGGACGTTTTGCTGTAACGTGTTAGGTCGACACCAATTATACTAATTAAACCTCCAATCAACAGTTGCATCGCACGTTAACCGAAAGACGAAACCGCTTATTAAATCCGGCTTTGATGCTTATATGCCGTCCGGTAATGTAACGCATTCTTCGGGATCGTATGATTTCCATCGTGGGCAAAGGACGCTCACACTCGCCCTCGCGAGACCCCGACGAGGTTGTTAAGGTCATCCAATTCAAAAGAAGGTCACATCAAGGTCATCGCGGCGGATGATGCGGTGTTTATAAGGCGTGAATTCGCATTATGCGGCGGGTTCGTGTCGTGATTCGCACCGGATATACTGGATTCACTTTCGTTTAACAGCCACATGAATTTCAACGTCTTCTGTACCTTTCTCTTTCAAGAATCGCGTAAATTACATAAAGTTACCTTAATGACGTAACGGCATGTAAATTGTGTGAGTTTTTACGCCAACGTTTAAGGAACTCGTCTAATTTCTGCACAAATAGGACGATTTTACTAAAGTGTCTAACAATTTAGCTAGATAGAAATCTGAAAATAATTTTGTTGGACCATCAAAATAATTATGTAGGACGTTGAAACTAGTTGCTAGAATGTCAAAACTTTTTACAAGCATTGCTCATCATGCATGTGATTCCTACATAGTTATTTTGTTAATCTGATAAAATTATTTTCAAATCTAACTAAATCAGATAGGATAGACCAAAGCGAATCGAATCAATTTTTAGTCATTGGTAAAACAGTAATAAAAGATAAATTTTGTTATCGAGTTTTATTATAAATTTTATTCTTAATTTTTACAATTTTGCTTTAGATTTCATAAAATAAAATAATATATTAGAATGGTATTTCTTATTGCACAACGAAAAAATAAAAAAGACAGAATCCAATTCGCTCCGTATATTTTAAAGGTGTAGCAGCTCACCAGAATTTACTAATTTAGCAAACTATGTACTATAAACATTAGAATTTGCATAAGTTTCATTATAAGTTTCTTTTTGTCACAAAATTTGCGATTTTATATGAGACAAAACTTCTTAACGCATTCAGCGTTTGTTATATCATCGATGATATTGGATTGCACGCAATGTTGTATGTAACTAGTATTGTATGTAACTAGTATGATAAAACAGCTTCAAAAAAAAGAACAACAAAATTAACAACTGTTTCAAAAATTATATTGATCCGATTTACCTCAATCTATATTCTATAACTTTAGCAAAATCATTTTTTCCATAAAATACTATTGTATTGAAATACTATTTTAGTCTCAGATAAAAAAACTTCAATATATTATATTTTACCATCTAAATTTGCTGCAGCAGCCAATCTTTTTTTTCAGTGTAACTCTTGCATGAGTAATATTAATTCGAAGCGGAATCAAATAAATTTTACACCAATAGCCTCGGGACTCAAAGGAAAGGTGTTCAGTATCGATCTGACCGCGAATTAATATGCCGATCATAATAATCCACTCCTTTATTAACAATGCAGTTGGCTTTAGTTGTTAGAAATTGAACGTAAGCTTGGCTTTACGAAGCCTATACGATTAGAATGCCTTGATCACAGATTCGAATGGCTCGCGATAAATAGCGGAACACGCCCGCAACACATGTTTTTTGTTGTAATCAGAAGCCGACGAATTTATTTTACATGAGGTCAGCTAGGCAGTGCCGTACAAAGTTATAGTAGCCGATTCATTAATCGCCCGTCACAGTCGTAATAAGCCCTTAATCTTCTCGTGGATCCGCTACCTGTGAGTAACTGCCGTTCCGGAGGCGTCGTAAGCCCTGCAAATCTCGAATATCTTGAGAAATTCTGCTTTTTGAAGAGCGTATACGAGTGTTCCACCAGATAACTAATCACGGTAATTAATTCATTTAATAAATAAAATGTCTGCAACTGCGGTCACGCCGGACTCTGTAGCGAATTTGACTCACGTAATCGAGTTTATGCCTTTAAGATCTTTTGCCGAGAAACGCTGACATCGTACGCAACTTAGGAGGAGAAATCTTTTACTGATTTTTTTTCTCGTGTTCATGAGGTTCTTTGGTCCAGCGGCAAACTTCAAATATAAGACAAATGTATATTATTGCGCAAACTTGTAAAAAGATGTGTGCGGTGTATGGTGAAAGTGCAAAGAACGCATGTGCCAGAAGTGGTTTGCGAGATTTCGTTTTTTTCAGAGATTTTTCTGTTCAAGATGCACCATGCTCAATACTTTTATGACAGAAATAAAACACGAAGTCCTTCAGCAAGGGATTATAAAGTTGTTCGAAAGATAGCAAATAGTGAATCACAACGGCTAATACATTCTTGACTAAAGTTATTGTTTTCTATAAAGAAATTGTCTTTCATGTATAGGTAAAAAATCTCACGGAATTATCGGCCAATCCAATACTATATGTCAAGTTCAACTTCACAAAAGCAAAGAATTTTCATTTATTTTTTGCCGTTAATTTATATATTTTAAATTAGTAAACTATTTTTGTTAGACAAAAGAAGATATATTTAGCGCATCAGTTTACATTTTAAAAATATCTTCTAAGCATTAGAGAGAAGTTTTGTCGACATATTTTTGATATTTCATCTCATGAAATTATAATTCACTTTGGTAAACATTTTTCTTAGAATTTTTTAAAATGTTTATGTAAAATTCAGAATTTTTCAAAATTTCTAAACTTTATAAGTTTTTAGAAAATTTCTCAAACTTTTCATATAAACTGGAATATTTTTTAGAAATGCCGAGAAATTGTCCCTATATTATATCTTTTCTAGAATTCTTTATACGTATATGTGAAATCTAAAATATTCTAAGATTCATGAAATTTCTTATCCTATAATTTTGAATAAAATCTTACAAAATCTGAAAAAGTTTAAGATATCCTTTCAGAAATTATAGAATGAGAAAACTTAAAAAAATTTTAGAATACTTCAGAATTCATATACATGAAGAATTCTAAAAGATGTAGATTTTCTCAGTAGCTTTGAAAAGTGTTTCAATCCGTATGAAAATTCTGAGAAAAATTTTCATCAATTCACTTATGTGATAGACAAGAACAATGATATTAATCTTGTAAATTTAATTTTAAAATGTTCTGGATGCAATCTTTTGTGCAAGTAGATAATAATTAATATACGTGATTGGTTCATTAGAACTCTCCAAAGCTACAAGTTTGCTCCAAGGATTAATTACAGATCAATCATGGGCGGTGTCAAGGTTTTTTTTTCAAACGAGATTGTGTATTGACGCTTGGAATGATACATCGGGAAATGTTCGCGGAGCCGACAAACGAGATTAATCGTCGCCGAATACGGTGGGTTGTTGCACTCGCAATTAAAGTACATACGTTAATAAAGCACCGGAGGCAAATCGTTTCGCGCTCAGCGGAATGTGAAAGTAGATAAGTCGCTACAACTAGTTGTGGTACCTCGTGCCGGTCTCGATGGCGAGCGGCAAACCTCATTATCGGTTTCCTACTTAATTGAGGTTGGTTTCGTTAACGGATTACGGTTGGATCGGTTCCGCAAACCAATTCAATGTTCGGAACAAATGTCATTATCACGATCAACAACTTAAGGGGCGAGCTCGACTGTACGTGCTAATTAAAATGCCACCTTCAAACTGGCGACCGCAAGACTTTACTTTTTCATCATCGCGCGTAATCTGCATCCATAAATATCGATAAGATCAGCGCGAACGATTAAACTGGATGATTACATAGCAATATCACGTTATGCAAGCTCTAACTTTTAAACTGTCAACGTCGTTGAATTTTATGGCTTAATTCAAAAGATAATAAATCAAGCTCTTGTCATGATGTAATTAACTAATAATATTACGAAAAGGAAATGACTATCACCGAAAAGGCGACGTTAATATACTTCTCCCTCTAATAATTATCCTGAAATAACCAGCTGGCCGGAAACTTGCGGCCCACGCAACGGTATACTCGTTATTCCCATCGTTTGGCCGTGAAAAAATATCAAAATATACTTTCTATCATCGTAGTGTAGCCGTATATCAGAAAAGTGGATGTCGTATATTAGAAGGCACGGCAAGCGGCGATGGCGTTTCTCGAGATGGCGTGACTCCAGCGCTATCGCATGGCAACCTTGCCGTGCATTATCGCCGATTAATAAGCCCTACGTTCTAAGAAAGCACCTCGGGGTTACGTACTTACTCGACATGCATCCCGCGTTCATGGATCATCGCCACGAGGGAGAGGAAGAATTGCCTCGGTCTTTAACATCGCGCACTCATCTCTTTTATGTACGAGAGAGAGAGAGAAGGAGGTGGAAGGAAAGTGGGGCCGATCACGGAACTTACAGACACGGAGATGATTTCGAGTTTCCTTCGGGAATCTCCCGACAATGTATACGTTAACCCGTCTCACGACCAGCAATTTGCAAATTTCCATTTCGTTCCAGCGCAGCTGCTTCGCGAGAGAACATGGCATCTAAACCGATCCTGCGTAACCATATATACGTAATTCCTATCTATGCAATAATGAATTGGAGTAAGTTTATAAGACGAAAATATACAAAATTTGTACGGAAAGAACAGTTTTGCTGAAGTATCTAAAAATTTAGTTAGATACTGATCTAAAAATAATTTCGTTGGACCATCAAAATAATGTAGAACGCTGGAATATCGAAACTTTTTGTGGCATTGCTCATCATGCTTGAGATTCCTACATAATTATTTTGATAGTCCAACAAAATTATTATCAAACATGTATCTAGTTAAATTTTTAGATTCAGCAAAATCATTCTTCCCGCGATCGAATAAAATAAAATGTTAATTAAATAAATATAAAATCTCAAACCAAGAGATTTTCTCTTATATTGACGAAGATACCCGTTCGATTTTCAATTGCAGTAAAAACCTACTCCAAATTCGTGCTATTTCTCTCCCGCATCTCTCTCTCTTTCTCTCTCGTTTGCAAAAATCGTAATTTAACTTACGTAATTTAATTTACGTTTTACGAAAATCAGGGGGGTTTAATGATCGAAGCGACGCTGGCAGTTTCCGTCGCCGTAAATTACGATGACCGATTCTCAGGGAGACCCTTAGCGCGCATCGGCGGCAGAGTTCGACCTTCTCGCACGATCCTTCGTCGAGGACTCGGCGAAATAATCGACCACGTTCCTGCGTTCCATGTACGACGGCGGTGGTGATGGTGATGGCGACTCCTTGGGCGGGGTGAGCGTACTGTACAGTTAGGATTTCGAAGAGGCGAGGAACATAATGAGAGAAACGTGCTGCCCCTTGACCCGCGCTGCGCGCACGGCTGCACCCTTGCCCATATATTCGCATTGAGACGAAATTCTCGTTATGCGATACAGATAACTAGAGAAGTCCGCTTGCGAAGCAAGGTGTATCAAGATGACATGGAAATCCACGTTTGGAGTTGATTAAACGAGAAACATGCGAGGATTATTATCTCTGTCATCATATGCACGCATACAGGACCAGTTTTACGCGAAGAATTCCTCGCAGGGGAACACCAATTAATACGTTTCCATATAAAAATCTGCGCGCTGAAACGTGAGGTAGAATTTATAACGATAAAATTTTAATAAGAGTACTTAACATCGTACGCGCAAGGACGACGAAAATAATTTAGGTATTATGATACAGACCAAAAAGTATCAAACTGATTTCGTTTAGGTCGGTTAAATACACAACTTTATAAAAAATTTAAATGAAGAACCTAAGACAGAATTCTGAGACTTAGTAAAGAAACCGAGTATTAAGTACTAATTATATCTGCAAGACCGATACTCCATAAGACCGCGTCGATTAATTATTGGACAGGTCGAGACAAGACTGGGATGACTAGTCTCTCTCGAGGAACGAAGAACTTTGTCGTTAAAGAATTTCTCGATATATCTTGCGTATCGTCTGCACGGTCAGTTATCGCGCAAGTGGACTGGTATGATTTTTATCACGCACAATGTCGAGTTATCCACGCTCGTTATCGCAGAAGAGTATTTATAGCGATATGATCCGAGGAGATATTCTCAACGAACGATCTGACAAGAAATAGATTTATCTATAGGATAAACTTATTGTAAAAATTAAGTCTATAAAAATGACATTATACATATATCGATTAAGTAAAATAAAATTAGACAGATGTTTCAGTCCGCAGATATCGCATGTATGCTGCGCTTATCTTTTTGTCAATGCTCTTTCGACATGCTGCCTTCGTAAGCGAACTGATAACAATGTTATTTGAAACCGTTATTAATTATAACGATTATATAAGTCGATAATAAACCGGTATAAATTTGTCTACTCGCTTTTCACACATCTCTTAGCACGAACAAACTATCGCGATTACAAAGACAACTTGCTTCAAAATTAAAGAACGTGAGTAGCAATTGTGTAACGCGAATTGTCGTGTTTGCAAAAAGGATGTGTTGCAAGAAAGCGTGTCACACCTCAGCAAGGACTCGCGCCGAGGACGCACGTACGAAATTCTTGTCTTGAAACAATAAAAGTAAATTGGCCATTCTCTAACAAGCTGCGTTGCGCAAAGAGCTTTCATTAACTCTCTCGTCGCACCTCTCGGGATTCAATCCCACGCCTCATTGACCGACTACTGACTGAGTGACTTACTGCAGAATCCTTCCGTCGTTACGAAAGGACTGATTATTTCAACGATTCATTGTTGCTAGCTAGCGTGCGCTTCCGCGTGTGTCACGCTCTCGCGCGAATTTCCCGTGCAATCTACGCGAATTCATGCAACACCATCGGATGAGACACGTCTCGTTCGCTATCATTGAGAAAACGACAGGAACGTGACACAAAATTACAAGCGAGAAATAACGTTGCAGTTTCTCTATATAATTCCGGATAATACGATTTAATGATAGCTATGAGAAGAATTGTAGAATGTGCTCACAGAAATGCGCGACACATTTTATAATTAAAAAAAATATCACGATATAATTTCTTTCTCTCTTTGCAAAGAATTATTAATTTATTATTTAAGAGTTCAATTTATTTCCAATTCAGATTCATCTATTCAATCTATATGTACTGTACAAAAAGTATGTACAAATACATAGGTAAATCATATGTATAAAATTTACATAACCTATAGTGGAACTAAAATTGTGCGTTTCAAAAAATATGTAGGCAAAATAGATATTTTTATAAATAAGCAACTGTGTATTTTTTTTTACCAATTGATTCACTTTATTATTCTGTATATAAAAGTATTAAAGTACTATTATTAAAAAATTAATAGTTTACGACATATTTAACATGTTATGTTTGCATATGTCAGAATAAAGTATAATAAAATATTTCATAAACTATTGGTTTTTTGATATCTTTATCTTAATACTTTATGTAGAATAATTAGAGGAATCATACTATGTAAAAAAATCATATAATTCTATTTAAAAAAGTGGAGATGATCTTCATTTTTTTATGTAGGAAAAATCTACACTGTTAAATCTATAGTGTCAACTTAACGTGTTTAACTTAACGTGAGTCGCCACTGCTCCTACTTAACATATCGTTATTTTATACCAACAATGACTATATTTGATACTATACAGTGTCAATTGATACTATATAGTGTGAAATTGACACGATATAGTGTCAAATTTAACTATCATTTTCGTAAAAAATAATGATATATTTAGTTCCGCTTGTCGAAGTGAGTAGGAGTTATAATAGGAGCATATTGGAACATGCGATGTGAACAAACCTCTAGTGAGCGATGGAAAATTTTGTCAGTCATTCACGTGGAAAAATGGTTATTTTTTTAGAACTTCTTTTCAAAAAATGCCGCCCCCCTAAACTTGTCGCCTCTAGACAATAGCCTAGATTAGTCTCTAGTGCTAATATGTAATGTAGAAATGCAGAATGTAATGTATTTCAATTTATGAAATTGACACATATGCGATTCTTGAATAAATAGAACAGCTATCATTTAGACTTCAGATCTATAAAAAGACGAATAATTTTATTTATAAATTGTGACTTTACGTATGTGTAAATTAATAAGAGTAGATTAATATAAATGTTATTCATTGACTTAATCAAATTCCATGACATTGAAAACTCTGTTCTATAATGATATCCGCTCGTTTCGGACTGTCACGCGGCAACTAACTCTCGACTGCCGAAAGCAGGATGCTGCGATAGTTCTGGTATCCGCGGGACGTGGGCAGAAATCCAAGGTAAGTGGCATGCCGTAGCGTGTCGACTTTAAATCGTTGCCTCGATACCGAACCGAAGACGCTGCAGTGTATACGCGTATTATCTCGTTGTTCGGACAGGCTATACGCGGAATATAGAGCACTTTACTCTGGTCATGGCAACGACGGACCACTTAGTCCGGGTAACGACCGCTACGACCCGGAGCATCATCAAGCTGTCCATCGAATCGTACACTTCGTCGGTTGGTGACCTTTACGCCATGGGACCACGATGTTCCATTTGCGGAGATTGAAATTCCATTCGCGTGGATATTGCTGATGGTGACTCGGCGGAGCTTTCGCGAGAACGCAGAAGCTAAAAAGCATTAAACACTGCGATGGCTGCCTAACGTCGGGATTTGCAATTCATCCGCCGTTTTAAT